AATCAGATCATAAAACCTTATCTTATTTTATTTAAGGCGAATAAAATAAAAAAAAAGATTTGATTTGTTTAAATTAAAAATTAATTATGTTAAAGGTGATTTAATTTTATTATTCTTTTTCTATCATTGTAATAAACAAACTTATTATCGATATTTTAAGACCAAAATCATTGAAAACCACTAAAAAAATGAACTCCAATTTTATCATACTAAAACTAGGATTTTTAGTTTTCATATTGTTTTTCATCCAAAAATTTAAAATCAGCTATTTAAATTTTAATCAAATGAAATATTCACATATACTATCATCTTTATAATTTCAAACTGAACAAATCACTGTATAAACTTCAACAAGATTTTAGGCAAAAATATTAAAAAAATTAAATTAAATCATATTTAATACGATTAACTTTTTGATTTAAACAAATGATTTATCTTATTTTATTTATTTTGATATCATCTATACTATATTATAAAGTATTTAATAAACTCTTAAAAACCATTGTTTATGCATGAAGTACTGTTTATTGATTCATATTACTTAAAATTCAAGATTACAAGTAATTTTGCGTAATTACAACTAATTAAAGCTCCATTTTTAAATTCGTGTAACTAACTACAGATAAACATAATCAAATATAGAATAAACATCAATTTTAAATATATAAAATCTAAAATATAATTAAAATAATTATTGACTCCTAACGGAATACTTAATTATTATCTTTATAAAGAACTATATTATTAAATCAAAAAAATAAATTACTTCATTATTAAACACAAATTAAGTTATAATAAAAAAATTAATTAAAAAATTATTAAAAACGAGAATTTTTAAATAGTTAATTTGATACTAATATCGATATATATATATTTTTTTTAAAGTTTTATGATATCTTTAAATTTATATTTTATTCAAAAATAAATACATTATTCTTTTCTCAAAACCATGTAAAACCGTATATATCGACAAAGACGATGAATAAAACAAAATATTAAAATCGATATGTATCTCGCTGCATTGTGCGAGTATTCTTGTAGTTACACACACACAGACACACACACACACACACACACACACACACACATATATATATATATATATATATATATATTTGTGTACATAAAAATATTGTTTTTACTTTTTTTATAGGAAAAATGATAAAAGAATATGCAAAAAGACTAAAATGCCTCTTAATTTGACGGATGTGTTAGTCAGAGAAACCATGACCAAAACAAACCGAATACCACAATGACCAAATTCACAATAACATACCATATTAACCCTAGTAAAAAATATCAAAACACAAGAAAGAAATCCATAATTTACTAAAAAATTATGGGATTTCCTTCAATTTCAAAATGAATTGAATTTTTTTTACTTATGAATTAATTTATTATTTTTATTGCATTAAATTAACTTCCACTAATTTAATTAAGCTGTTTTTATATGATGACTTAGGAGCCGTTTACTAAATACTTATCCTGTAAGTGTTTACCGGTAAAATTTAACACTACTATTTACTTATCGGATAAGATTTTAGTCCACCAAAACGACATCGCATGTAACAATTTACACGGTAAGCGCTTACTGTGATAAGAGTCGCCGCTCTCACTTACCGGGTAAGACTCTTGGTCCTTGTCTCACTCTTACCGGATAAGATTCTTGGTCCATACCATATTCATCCGGTGTGGTAATTTGACTTGGTAAACACTTGCGCGCATAAACGTTTGCTAAACGGCCCTTAGACTTTGTCAAATCAACATATTTAAAATTCAAAATTAATTAAAACGAATAATTGATTCCAAGTTCAACCGATATTAAAATTCAATATTAGCATTTGAATATATTAAATGGTATCACAAATTTCAAATGTAACCTTAGATCAATATGAAACTCTAAAAAACTATACCTTATGAAAACTTACCAATTAAAGAACTCTGAAATCAGATGTTCAATGGATTTAAATCTGAATACATGAATTCTAAATATAACTGGTTAAAATATATAACTGAATCAAATATAATATATCAAGACATAATTTTTCTATCTAACAGATAAATGATTCTTATAATCTTGAGACTTATACGTTGTAGCTTTTTCTCGTTAGAATATCTTATAATCTTGATTGACTTTCGATGTTTTATATAGTTCTTATGTAACACCATTTGCGTAACTCTGTATATGCACAATAATGCCTCGTTCGTTTCATCATCGATCACATCGTCTCACCATCATGAAATTATTATTATCATCAATGATAATTTCATCGTTAGACGTATTTGAGCACAAAATGAGTATCTTGTCACATTCATAACACGAGATTTCCTTTTTGAAAAAATAAAAGTTAAGTTCAATTATTAAAAGAGGAATAATGGATATGAACGGCATAAAAGAGGTCGCCCTTCTCGTCGATTTTCTTTTATTCTATAAGATCGTCTTTTAGTAATAAATTCTAGTGTATCATGTAGTTTTTCTTATCTGTATCACACTTCGAAAGTAAGCTTCCATCTAGATTCCAACTGCACGGTGCATACATATTTTGTTAGCAATTCCCGCATCCTAAAAGTATGAGAATATTACAGATCTAAGTACTACTGTGAGAATAAAGAATTTGATTTTTAGGGTTCGATTTCATTATCGAAACCTACAACCACAACGAGACGGTATGTATGGATCAAATAAACAACCCACACGTTCTTTTCTTTTTGATGTCACGTCGTTATCTTATCTTCATATTTTCTCGATTATTATTATTATGGGTATGTAAATATTCTTCTTTTCTCAATCACGTA